AAACCAGATGACTCGCTTATATTCGATGAAATTTCTGAAACGCTTTTCATTTCTTCAAACATCAAAAAATTTGCTGAATCTTCAAAAAACTGTGATAAAACATCGATTGCAACACCAGATCGTTCGTACGTTTCGCAATAAAATTCTAGTGCTGTTAGGTAATAAGTATTATCAATTAAATATTTTGATACAAATGTCTCTGGTGAATCTGAATCTGAGGAATCCATTTTTTTTACATGAAAACTTTTTGAATTGTATCGGCTATATTTTTATTCAAAAATCGAATTATTCAATTGCATGAACAAAAACGTTATTTTGTAAATTGTTATATCCAATTATTCTAAACATCATAAATAAATTAATGTTTTTTTAAAAAAAACATTATGATTTTATGAAGAAGAATACAAAAATTTCCATTTTTTTATTCAAATTTTTGACAGAAATCATAAATGAAGATCATTATTACTGGATTTGGCCCATTTGGTCCATTCAAAATAAATCCATCACGTATCATCGCTCAAAAAGCTGTTGAAAAGCTTGTTAAGGATAAAGTTCAAGCTCAATTTTATGACATGAAAGCTTCAATCAAAGATATCAATTGTTTTTACGAAAATCTTCATGAGGATGACGTTTTTGTCTTACATATGGGACTTTACAACGGACTTAAAAAGCTCAACATGGAAGATACCGCCCAAAATAATGCAGAATTCGTTATTCCTGATGCCGAAAAAGAACAACCCCGCGACCAACCAATTGATCCAAATCATCCAATAAGTAATAAGTTAGTAAATTCTCTCCCAATTGATCAATGGGTTAATCAATTATCCCAAGATTACGATTTATCTCATGATGCTGGAACATATGTTTGCAATTACTGTTATTACAGAGCTCTATTAAATGTTGATAAGAAAATAAAAGGAGCTCTTTTTGTTCATTGTGGTCTTTTTAATGATATTGCAGAAGATAAACAAGTTGACAGTATTGTTCAACTTGCACACATAATTCTTAATCACTTCAAATAAATATTTTTATTTATTAAAGCAAAACACATTTTATTATATAAATATATTTATTTATCAATGAAATTAAAAAAAAAAAAATCACTTCCAAAAGATCAGATGAAGCCATAGTTGTGACATCAGCCAAATTTAATGATTAATTATTATTAAAAAAAAAAAAAGTTGAAATTCTCCAAAATACGTTTAAGAATCCTATTTTTGAAATAAGATTTTAAACTTTTTATGTTGTTATTTGGTTTTATAAAAACTTTTTAAAAATTTACGCAATTTAATGAGTAGATTGGATTCATATCGACTTACAAAATCAAAATCTCTTTCTCGTTTCAAATATCCTTTACCATCAGAAAATAATGAAATTTCCAAAACTAGTAAATATCTACCAACTGTAACGCCTACATCATCAGTTGCACACATCAAACAAACAAAAACTATTCTACCTAAACCTAAAACGCAGCCAAAACCGCCACCTCCACAACCTGATGTTCCAATGGTTGAAAAAGCTAAAAAGTTAATTGATGAATTAATACAATTAATCATTAATATATGCCAAAAAAATGATACAACTCCAGAAATAGAAGAAGATTTCAAGCCAAGTATGACCAGTGTTCAAAAATCGTTACCAGAATTTTACCGGCAATCACTCAATTATTTTGCCACATTGAAAAAGTTACAAGATTCAGCCAAACAAAACATGATTCTAAGTTCAGCTCTTGTCAAGAAGCCCTTCATTCAATTTTCACAAGACTGGAAAAGTTTTTCAGAGACCATTGAAAAACTTTACGTTGAGAAACCGCCTCCACAAGGGAGACACATCACCATGAACTTTTTATCAATATCGCACACGCTTGACAGCATCTTAAAAGTGAACAATCAAAGAATTCATCCATGCACAACATTGTCAGAGACGTGTTTAAGTATCCAATCATTGTGTGACAAATTGAATGAAAGCATCATCAATCTTTTCTCCCAGCCAACTTTCCCCAACTTTGAGACTGATCTTCTTTCAACCTACAAACATGATGTCAAGGCTTTTCTTCGTATTCTGTCCAAAGCATTTGTAAGTGAGTTTCCTAAAAATGGAATTCAAATCTACGATTTAATGTGTATAAAATCTGACGTTTTTGCTCAAGTTAGCGAGATTCTATCGTCCTTAGAAAGTGCCTTCACGTTTCAAAGTGTTCTTGAAAAGGCAATTCTAATAAGAAATGAGGTCAACTCCTTGTTAACTGTTATATTCGATCAATTATCAATTGACTTCTTCGTTGTGAAACCGAATCCAGAAATGCTTGAAAAAATTCAGAAAGAAAACGAACTTTTAGAGAAGAAACTTCAAACCGAAAAAAAAGTGGTTGTTAAGAAAACAATTGAAAAGAATTATATAACAGCATTTGCACAAAATGTTTCACCAAAGATTGGCGTTGAAGTTCATCGAGATAATCAAAAAAACCTTCAATTAATTGAAGAAAGAATTTTCCAAATTTTGGAAAAAGTTGAACTTCAAAAGAATGAAATTCAACGGTTGAGAGACAGGATCAATCAGATGGACAGTTATGAAGAATTGTACAAGACACAGTCAGAAACATATAATTCTATGATGTCACAAAAGAAATCTGAGATTCAAATGAAAGACAGACAAATTCAAGGATTCGACTCTCAAATTGACGAATTGAAAGAAAAAATTAACAAAAAAAATGAAACAATTTACAGCATTCAATGTCAAGTTTGTGATTTGAGAGACGTTCTAGCAAACAAGCTTGGTAAGCCAGTTTTGGATCAATCTCCTCAATCAGCAATACCTGACATGTCAACGATGCTGGATTCGCTGGATTCAATCAAGGAGAGTCAGATTCAAGTCATTGAAAAAAACAAAGAATTCAATGAAATTTTGGACTTTTTGAAGGCAATAACGAACACAGATTCTGAGTCTTTGATTGAGCAAGGGAAGGTTATTGAGAAGATCATCCAAGAGCAAAAGGATGAAATTATTCATTTGAAAGAAACAATTGAAATTGAAAAGAAAAATAACGAACAAAAAGTGGTCGAATTGAATGAAAAAATTGAAAATGAAAAAATTCAATCGGCCTCAAATTTGCAGCTTCAAAATGAAAGCAACAAAGAAAGCATTGATTCCTTCATTAGTCAGCTCAAGCCAATTTTAGATGGCAGTGAAATGAATACTTTTGATGAAGTGATCCATTCAATTTCAAATAAAATTAACGAACTCAATTCAAAAATAATTGAGAAGGAAGAAAAATTGAAAGAAAAGTCAAGAAAGAAAAAAGAACTTAAATCGTTACTTATTGAATCTTACGAATTCCCTAAAGATTGGTCGTTCAGAGTTGTTGTCCAGCAAATCATCAACACCAAAAATTTGATGAGAAACATCCCAGCCGAACTTCAGCAAAAAATGGACGATCAAGAGGAGCGAATCAAGACTCTTTACACGCGACTTTTGGGCATTGCCAAGCTGAACATTCAAAGTTACCCGGAAGGTGAATTTGAGGTCAATTCGATGATGAACAGTATGTTTCAAATCATCGACAAAGTGCAAGATGATGTTGAGCTCTGTTCGAAAGACTCTACTTTCTTAAAAACCGCCAAAATTCTCAGAAATTGTATCGAGTCGTTAGAGCAGAGATTGGGTCTTTATCTCGGCAGGAAGAAGAAAGAGGCGAAAACATTGACCAACGAAGAATTGATGGACCGAATCAACCATTACATCGACTCGATTTTGGATCCAGATTTCAATTCACAATTCATGAAAGTGAACGAAATCAAGTCCTATTTCAAACAGCTTCGTGTCGACAGCTCGGCTTTGCCATCTGAATACATTCCCGCTTTCTGCAAAGTCTTCGATCAAATGGAGCAGTCGTTGGATGTTCTGCCTCAATTTGGCCAGATTTTGAAAGCGATTTTTGACTCGCTTTTTGCTGAAGAAAATTGTCAGTCGCATATGAAAGACGAGGTTTTCGCTGGAGTCGAAGAGCAAGTTGAGCTGCTTCAGAGCACTCTCAATCAGATAAACGAGGATGACGTTGATTCGAATTTATTCTATGTTCTGTCTAACTTTGTTCAGCTCTCTCATATTCTAATTACGAGAATTACAAAAAGTATTTTCACTTGAATGTTTTTAAATAAAATGTTGTTGTTTTTTATTATCTTTTTCTCTTTCAATTTTGCGGGGATTCGTGTGCACTCCTCTTTGCCATTGATAAAAATTTTACAAAATGTGGTAAATAGACAATTTTGCTCGAAATTTTGCCTGTTTAAAATAAGGCAAAAGAAAATATTTATAAGACCGTCATTGGGTATGCAAGAGAAAGAAAAAGTCAAAAAATTGTTGATTTTCTATCTAATCTGAAAAAAAAGTAACGCAAGTGGGCATGAAAATCTTTAATTTTTAATTATCATTGTCAAAACGTAAGAAGATATTGCTCGATCAATCTGCATTCGTTTGTTATATTTGTTACCAACAAAAGTCATCCAAAATCTGACTGTAGTATTCTATAAATAACAAAGTGAATTCATATTTGGATGAAAATTGGTGACAATAATTGAATCATTTCAAAGTTCTGATCTCTTAATAACATGAAAAAATAAACTAGATATATTTTACATTATTCGTTTCATTTTTATTTCTAAAAACAATATAATAGATAGAAATCGATATCGTTCAACAGGTAGGACATGTGACTTTCAATCATGAAACTGGGGTTCGAATCCCCATATCGATATTTTTTTGATTTTTTTTTTTGGGGGGGGGTCTAATTTCATTAATCTGAGTATAATTCTACTCAACCAAAATTCAACTGCGTTTTTATTAGATGACAGAATTTGCATCTTATAACTTTTGAATATTTATGCATTGTTTAAATTTCTTGTAATGAAGAATGTAGAGATTGATTAATACTTATATAAAATTTTTGGCTTTCAAAAGCATTAAAAGTCTTTATTAATATATATATTTATATATCAATGTAATGGTCGGTAGTGTAATGGTAGCATAGGAGTCTGTCGGTCTTTTGGCCCGGGTTCGATTCCCGGCTGACCAGATTTTTGATCTTTTTTGAATTTTTTTTGCATATGATTAACAATTACGAGATATTTTAATTGCTAAAGTATAGAAATCGATATCGTTCAACAGGTAGGACATGTGACTTTCAATCATGAAACTGGGGTTCGAATCCCCATATCGATATTTTTTTGTTGTGGTTTTGTTATTGCATGAATTTACTACAGATTAAAATAAGGAATTGCATATTTTATAATTTTTATTTGTTACGTAATAATTCCATTTTGTAATCAAAGAATATAAATATATAATTTTAATTATATCCTTTGAAAAAAAAAAATAAAAATAAAAAAAAAGGCAATAGCAAGCATTAAACTCTTCACGAGTTAGTTTTATCAACAATTTTTTTTAACTCACTCTCAAATATCAGTTGTTGAATAAAGATTCTAACGAAAATTTTGTGAATAAATAGACGTTAAAAATATTCGTATTTATTCCTACGTCTTATCAGAAAACCTTTCAAATAATGACCAATTTATTTTTCCTGCTAGAATTAAAAAAAAGGTAGCTTATATGTATTGAAAGATATATATATGTCAGAATTGACTTAATGAGTTCATCAATTCAATTTTTGAGAGAAATTTTTTTGGATGGTTTGAACATTTTTGTCAAGAATCGTGATTAAAACATGAAAATAAAACGTTTTCATTCATTTTGATTTAATCTACTTTTCACTTGATTTTATTAAAAAATTTATCTAGTATTCAATTTTCAATACTGCAAATGGTTGAAAATGTCCATTTATTCAGAATTATTTTATTTGCATTTTATCTCATATTTATTTATGGAAATTAATGATACTTATGATATAATACGTAAACTAGGCGAAGGAGCATTCTCAAATGTTTTTCTTGCCACTCACCGTCCCTCGGGAGTCCAAGTTGCAATAAAAATCATAAAAAAAGAAATTTTTAATGATTCAAGTGATGGAAATTTCAGCTATTCCGATGTTTTAAGAGAAGTAGAAATTTTGAGAACAACCAATCATCCAAATATTGTTAAACTTTTTGATTATCATGAAGATAAAAATAATTTTTACATTGTTCAAGAGTTATGTGACCATGGTACTGTTGTAGAATATATAAAGAACAATGGTAACTCAGAGAATCCAGAAATTAAACTAATTTTCCTTCAATTAGTTAATGCTGTTTCATATCTTCATGAAGTTGCAGGAATTCTTCATTGTGATATCAAAGCTGAAAATGTTTTACTGGATAGTAATAATAACGTTAAGCTTGTTGATTTCGGTTTTGCCTATGATCATAAAAATAATGATGACAATGATGTATCAGCTTATCAAAAAATTAAAGGAACACCTGCTTATATTGCACCTGAAGTCCTGCAAAATTATCCTAATTCAATTGAAAGTGATACTTGGAGTATTGGAGTTTTTTTATATTATTTAATTACAGGAACTCTACCTTTTGATGATGATGAACTTACCGGACTTGCTCATTGTATTATTAAAATGAAACCATCTTTTCCTTCTTACTTGTCATCAAATTCAATTCAATTATTGACAAAAATATTAAAAAAAAATCCAAAAGAAAGATGCACCTTAAATCAAATCAAAAACAGCGCCTGGCTTAAAAATATATCAGAAGAATTAGATAATACTTATCAAAATATAAATTATGGCAATGATGAAATAGATTCTGAAATTGTTCAACAAATAATCAAAAATTTTCCATTTAAATTTGGTTCATTTAAAGAAATTTGTGATGATATAAAAAAAGGCAGAATCAATCCAACAACGGTATATTATAATATTTTGCTAAATAAGAAAAAAAATGAAATCTTAAATAATTATCTGAAACCTCTGAAAAAAAAAATTGAAATTCGATGTCCTTCTATTTTTAGTGTAGATCATAAACCTAATTCATCTCCTAAATCTAGATCAGTATCTACCAATCGTGTTGGACTTAATAATTGTAATGCCAGTACAAAGAAGAGGATTTTGATTTGCTCAAAAGCGAGCATTCCTAAATTGATTAATCCAATCAAGTATTTGAAATAGCAAAAAATGTATTTTTGTGTTTTGAATACTTGATTGTTATAGTTTGTAAAAACATTTAAATGTTCATTTTATTTGACAATTGTTTTCAATTAAAAATTTTGTAAAAACAAATTCCTTGTTGATAAAATTAGTAAATGTTGGCAGTTTCTATTTGTCATTCAATTATTGCCATTTAAATATAAATAGCCCTGATTTTTTCTATTTATCACATTTTTAACGTAACTTTTAAACGTTATTTTTTTCAACATTAAATTTGCTTGTAGATCATCATTTTTATTTGAAATCAAACTGGCAAGCCTGATATTAAAGTGGATAATCTTTTTTTGAATAAATGATGTTTAAGAGGAAATCAAATGATAAAGTTATTATCATTACAAAAATCAATGCGAAAAAATAAAGTCGATGGCAGTCCAAGTGGATACTAGCCCCTCTCTAATTATTTATCTAAAATTTTTCCAAGAGAAGAAGAAAAAGTGAGAACTGTTGAGATATTAAGGGAAATGTTTCCAAACTTATTATGGCATCGTAAATCTTCCAAATTGTTGATAATTATCTTAATATTGATAATTTAATCATGAATCCAGCAAGATCTATATTAAATTGAATGTAACTTTTGTATTTTATCAACCTATAATCGATCTTGCAGAACAATTTAAATGGTTATCTTGTGCTAATCCAGCTCAGACTCTGGACAAAGAATAATTTAAAATTAAAAATGAAGGAAATTGGAGTTCGAGGCTGCAAAAGCCTGATATTCTACATATGATAAAAATTTGCATACCGCCCATTCTTCCAAATTGGAAGATGTATCAATTGTTAATAAAGCAGGTTTGTTCCAGTTCAAGACAAATTGCCATGATCTTTTCCTGAAGAGCGAACTTTTAGCTGATTCTTTAGTCAGCCAAAGTAAAATTTTGGAATTATAGTTGGTGTAACGGTTGGATGTGTAGCTGCAATCGTAATCATTGTAGATCACACACCAAATTCATTTCCTAAATTATTGTAGCAATTGTTCATAAGAAAGTTCAAGGCTCATCAGAAAAATAATAAATAACTTTTTGGTAAATTGGATTTTTATTATTTATATGTCCTTTTTGATGGATATATAATTGATGGAAATTATGTAGTTATTTAATATGTTAATTCAGTTTTGGGAAATATTTATTATTGAACAAGAAAAAAGAATGATATATATGTAATTGATTATATTGAATGTATTTCATGTTAATAGCTAAATAATATAATATATTTTATATGTTATTTTAAAAGATAAAAAAGAAATTTTTTACTTTCATAATGGTATTCAAAACACTTTGAGAATGAATAAATAAAATTTCATTTATTTGAAACTCAAAAAAAAATAGATGAAAACATAATTTAAAAAAATTTGGATATTATGCAAAAAAAATAAATTAAAATTATTCTACTAAAATTAATATTCATAGAATTATTACTAAAATAAGTTTTTAAAAAACCGTTATTTTCATTTTCCTCATAAAAATAATTGAATTTGAATTATTTTTTTTTTATATCATTTATAAATTATCTATTGAATTGGTATTTTCATTATTATTGTTGTTGTTGTTTTTATTGATAGTTTATTGAGATTTTGTGTAGAAAACACATCTCAAATTATTATTTTTATTATAAAATTGAATGAAAATCTTATCATTATTTTCAATTTAAAACATTAATTGTTATAAAAGTAAAAATTGAAATATATTGAATGATTTCTCTCTGTTTTATTTTAGTATTATAAATAATATTTCAAATGATGGAGATATTTCATTTTTGAGTTTATGACAGAATTGACATATAAATTATTTTTACATAAAAAAAATAATTTAAAAATTTGATAATGAGGACGATACGCTATTTGAAAAAATGTTGGGATACAAAATAAATGGTTTTTTCTAGTAAGTATATAATTTAAAAAAAAAAAAAAAAAAAAATGAATAACATTCAAAAATCACTTTTGAATAAAATTTCTGTAGAAAAAAGACCGCTATTTCTGAAGTCTATTGAATTTTCATTTGAAAAATAAAAATACATTTCATTTATATAATTTCTTGTATTTTATGATTGGATCTCTTAATTTAGATACCGAAAAGAAAACCAATGGAATTATTGGTGGAAAGAAATCGCACCCTAGAGCAAAGTTCACTCAAGAGGAAGATGAAAAATTATCCAAACTTGTTCAAACTTTCGGAACAAGTGATTGGATATCAATTTCTTATCAGATGCCAGGGAGAAACTCGAGACAATGCCGCGATAGATGGCAAAACTACTTGTCGCCTGAAGTTGTCAATGGGCCATGGACGGCTGAAGAAGAAGATTTGTTGGTAAAAAAATATAATGAATTTGGTCCAAGTTGGAAGCAGATCGCGACATTTTTCCCTACCAGAACTGATATTAATATCAAAAGTCGTTGGCATTTGAGGGAAAGGAGGCTTAAAAAAGAAGATCTTCAGATGAAAAGAGCTCTATTTCGTAAAAATGGTGCATCAAAAGCTTCATTTCCCTTAAATACAAAGCCTGTCCAAAAGCATCCAATTGATTTCCCTCAACAAATGAATTTTTTTCCGCAATACAATCAAATAAATCCAAAATATAATCCAGTAAATCCTATTAATCAGCAAGTTCCGCTTATCCAGCCTTCTAAAAAGGCTAACCTACAATATTTAATGCCAATTATTAAAAATTCTCCAGAGAAATCAAGTCAAGTTATTAATTCATCACCTCTTCCGTTTTTTCCCTCGAAAGTTTCGTCTGATGAGCAAAGTGTCTCAGAAATGAACATTTCTACAGATGATGGCTTCGATTCTGCAACGAACGATTGCTTAAATTTGCTTTTAATGAACGATGAAAATAATTTTTATGAGAATGTCTTTGATACCTGGTTTTAACCCAATTTATCTTTTTATTTATTATAATAATTATTTAATAAATCATGTTATTGCTAT